TACCCCTACGACTTAAGTCGACTGGAAATATATTATAAGTAGGTATGTATTTTTTTTTGAGTTTTTTTTTTTGGTAGGATTGATTCTGGGTGTCTTATAAGGTATTATGATATTCTGATAAATCTACTGAGAACTTATGAAGAAAATATCTCGAACTAGGAGAGCAAAAGAACAAAATTCAAAAATTCTATAATCATGTTGCTGGTTCTGTTTTGAGCCAAGATATTAGTAACAGGATTGTCATTGACAACCATGGATCTACTATTGAACAAAACTACATTAATTTCCCATTGAAAATACGATTTTTTAAATTAAAGTGCATTGGTTTCTCTGACATAACACTTTTCTTATTGCTGCATGAAGGCAAACCTGTTTAAATAATTATAATGTAGGTGAAGATATTTAGCATGTTGTATAATTGTTATTATACAGACATTATTTATAATATTATGGCCTTGTGTAATGTATGTCAAGAACTTATTAATTCTCAAAATGCTAACCTTCTTGCACTACTTTTCTCTTGTGTCCTTACAAATTACAGTTACCTATACTAATTTTTCTAGGTTCAAACAACTTGACAAATTTTTGAATTTTACATTATGCTTTGAATTTTTCTTTTTGTCTTTTGGTAAAAATATGAGTGAATGACTTAAAAATCAAGTTTATCTAAAATAGTATTTTGTACAAAGTAACTATACATAATTGGAAAAGTCTCATGTTGAAGGCAGATATTGCTTCTTTTACTAGATTGCTATTCTTATTCTTTTAAATGATATCGTAATTCTTCAAAAGACATAAAAAGTTCTTTGCCATCAATTTTTGCTTCTTCCACATTCAACTTCATTGCAACCAATGCATCTTATGTGAATTTTTAATCACCTGGAATTGAAAAACGTATGGATTTTGTCAGATGATGCAATACTATATTTAATGTTTCATGCATGTCATCATAAGCTTTTCTTGAGCAAATATTTCAAGGTAGGAGCAAAATTTGGCACATTATTGAACAAAGTAGTTTTTATCTTGATTTTGATGTACTAACCTGTTTACTACACTGTATAACAAACAATTCATTTACAGAAACACCAGATGGCATTTATAGAACTTTTAGCATAAAGCAAACCTTTACACACCATCATCATGATTGTCCATAATGTGTCAAATTGTCCAGGCTACTTGTTTAATACAGGTATTTTTTACTGTACGACATGTACCAAAGAGTTCATTAATTAATCCTGCACTGCATTTGATTTCAATACAGCTCTGTCCTTAATATTTGCTTCATATTTTCAGAAAAATATCATGAAAAAATCCTCCATTTCAACTCAGTTGAAACAAGGAGTTTTAAGATATGCATATCTCGATAAGAACTGGTTGCTTTGCCTCGTCTAGCAAGCGATTAAGTAAAGAACAAATAAGAATGGATAAACATAACTTAAATTATAACTTAGGAGTAAAACATTCACAAAATATATACAATCACACTTCAAGTATTGACTTAAAACAAAACACTGAACACTTTAAATGGTAAACAATCTTACGTTGCTTACCGGTATCATGAAATGTTTCCTTTTCTGGCATTACTTCAGCATCCGTCTACCAAACAAGTTTGCAACATGTTTTAAAGATAAAATTTCTAAAAGTTTTTGTGTTTGGCATTGATATTTTATATAATCGCTATTGTGGTTGTCAAATCCGGGTGGGCGAAAAAATTTCATTTTATGAGCCCGCGTCTTTCCGCTGACTTTGACAACCAAAATCCGCCATGTTTTTGACCACGCGGCCGCGCGCTGATAATTTATAGTAATTTTGTTGACGTTTCCCCTCCAGGTCTTATAGAGCTCAATGGTGATCACCCGTCATATAAAACAGAAGACGGACGAAGGAAACCATTTTACGACTGCTGGTTCATTCTTGAAGGAAAAGGCGCTAATAGAGGAATTGTCTTACATGATGCAGTGTGCGAACTAGCTGAAAAAAACTAACTATGTGCAATTTTTTTTGGGAAAAGTGTTTCTTTAGAGGCATAATCAAATCGATATCACGTTATTAATTATGTTATATTACAAACAATATGTAAAATCAAAACGTATGGCTGATCAAGATTGCTAGTTTGGCTTAATATTTTGAGCTAAGTTTGGCTTCTTTTTCTCATGTTAGGCTTATTTAAAATCAAAATTCCCTTTGCTTTATTTTTCAAATTTGGCTTCTTGATTTGGTTTCAAAATTTGGTTTCAAAATTTGGTTTCTTGATTTTACTGAAAATACTCAAAATAGCTATGATGCCAAAAACAGTACGTAACGGTTTACAAAACAACGCAAATGCAAAAATTGACATTAATAATGTATAACACTCCTATTGTCATAAGTATATAAGCACCATGTATGTAGACTGTTGATAGACTTCCCAGTCTCAAAGTGACAACAACGTCTTTGAATTTGATGACATTGTGTCAACATGGATTTTAATGTTGTGCAGAGCACTCGTTTATAAAGTAAACATCAGTAAAGATTAAGCTTGAAAACTTTTTTTCAATTTATGTGGTAGTAATCAATAAAGACGTTTTTTGCATATCGTTCGAAAAAGTGATGTGCAATTGTTTTCATTTTAACTACAACGATGTGCAAATTGCACATTGCACACCGTTAATTCGCACACTGTGGCTAAGTATCTAAAATAACAAAATCTTCTTATACACATAGCCTTCATGATCTAGACTGCCCCACTTCATTGAAATACACCCATCCCAAATCACGAGTTCTTGAAACCATCCCCATCCAAAATACATTAAACAAGGCCATTACTGAGTTATGGGTTGAGTATTGGACTAGTGACTAAATTTAGATATTTATCGAATCACAAACTATTATTCTTAAGCCCACCCCTCCATCCAAACATGCTCACAGTAAAATTTAGCCAACCTCATCCTATGCTAATCCCAGTTGTTTCTAGTGACTACCGAGGGGAATTTCACTTGAAAAACCCCGTACACTTCCCAAAATAAATCCGCATAAAGTTCGATAAATCCGTGAAAATGCAAAAACTCCAATAAAATCCAAAAAGTCCGGTCACACTTCACATAAATCCATAGAAGTCCCGAAAAATCCTCAAAAGTCCAGAAAATCAAAAAAATCCAACAATAATTTTGAAACACTTGGTGTTATTTCATCATAAATTGAAATTGTTGAAATATTTGTTAAATTGTTAAAACTGGACGATTCAGCAGATGACATGGAAGCGAAAATAATCTCGAAAATAATGTCCAAGGCCAGATTTTTTATACTGTAACTTCTGGTTTATTCAATATTATAATATTCATTTTTTCAGATGTTCTTCATACAGCATGTTTACTCGACCGTTCATTATGAGCTTCATTGGTTTTTCCCTGGATAGATAAGATTAATATGCATATCGAAATGCATATTTTGTAAATTGCATTGCAGTAAGGGCAATAATCAGAGCCGAGCTATTAATTTGTTAATTTGCCTAAAAGTTGTTTTTCCAACATTTGATGCTTGCCTTGATGTTAGTAACCATCTAATGAAAGATCCAATATTATGTACATGGAGTATAAAAATATGTTTATATATTAACCTATTGTAAAATTTCAATAAGTAATCACTGTGGTAATCCCACAAGTGTATTTGAGATTGCATTAATGTTCATGTTTTGCTGTAAAAAGTTCTATTAAATTCCCTGATGCAGAAAAGGTTTTGTGCTTGTTACCAAGATAAGTAACATATATGCACATAGCTGACATTATACACCAATGAGGTCTGCATTGAGATTTATATTAATGTATTCTATTTATAACTGTGAACAGGAAATAATGCAGGAAGTAATTCAATGTATTACTGTGAAAGAATCTTGCTTGTCTTGCAAAAGGTTGGAAGAAGAGTTAAGAACCTTAAAAGAAAAAGTAAGCAAGACTTTTATATAGCAAGATTGTTTTTTCCTATTTTTAGTCTTGTAGGCAAATTATAATGTAATGGGCTAATTTCTATGTTTCTTTTTATTACTAGTATCAGTTGCAAATTGAACCAGGCCATGCTACTATACCAGATGAGTCGTGGAATATTTTTCCAAAATGTGGGAACTATGTAAAAAATATTTTAAAGGTTAGTGGGTATGACACACCTGAAGCTATCAAAAAGCTCAGAGACAAAAAAGAACTGCAAAAAACCTTTGACATTGTTCAATGTATGGCCGATATTTTGCCAATTTAACATTTTCCACAGAAACCCAACAAAATGTTGTGTTGCTTCCAGGACTTCATGTATTACTTGTTGCACATGCGTAAATGTATTTGATTCAAACTTTCAATAGTATTTTATGTCGTGATTTACTGAAATTATGTGAATGCTTTCAGTTAAGGATCTTATGATAAATGTTTAGTCTGATTTCATATTTAGCCAGTTCTTTTGAAGTTCATTAATAAGTATAGTTCACTTGTCATAGTTCACTCGGTGACTACTGCCAAGTGCCAATTTCAAAATAATTAATGTAAAAAATTAGCGACAAAAAATATTGCAAACTAATTAGAGGTGAATTAAAAATTTTTTAAACATAAGTACGTAAAAGATGTGCATAACAACAATTTGCAGTGTACACGATCACAGTACACTGTTAACAAATGTCAAAACCATTTAGTACGAGTATGAATAGCATTAACAATTAAACAGGGTGAAAAATCCTTCAGCATTACAAATATTGCTGTTATCTTAAAAAATAACCTTCTTGCACTAAACTAGGAGAAAAAATTTGGTTGTAAACAAAACTCTCTGTTTCCCTAAGTCAGTTAGTAAGAACTGTTTGCACATCGAACGACAATTCTAAAAGTGGAAAATCTGGAAAGAAAACGTTGATAAAAAAATACGTAAATGTTTATGTTCTGTTGTCGACTTGTCGTGCATAAAAATAGCTCTTTTTGCGTAGCCCATTTCCCAAACATCAACCCTGAAAAGAGATCATTTAATGTTAATGAAAAGTGATTACTTACTTCGTCTGCATGTCTTTTTTGGGGAATTTCGACGAAAGTAGCCAAAATAAGACGAAAGGCATTGAATATGTAATTGAAAATGTCGTCCTATACTTCAAATAATTTAGTCCAAAAAGCACTTGTAGCAATCCTACTCCAGTTATTTCGCGTTCAATGACGTTTAAACGCGGAACCACACCGAAACACGTTGTCTGCAAAGTTTGGTCTTTTTTCGCTAATAAAGTCTTGTGTGTTTTTATGGTAAGGTTTTCTTATGTTAATGTATTGTGGGAGTTTAACATTTATACTCGTATTATCTTGTATTATTCACGAACATGCATGTTTACATGTTGCTGGTGGTTGTGGAGGGGCTTCCATTTTTCAATTTAGTAAATATGGCGGTTTTTGATGTTTGAAATATAATTCAAAACAGAAAAAAACGGTTTCTCAAATATCAAAGCTCGGTAGTGTTTGGTTTCTTTATTGAAGGTCGTTTTCCTACACGGCTGGAACAAGGAAAAGTTGTTAAGAATTATGTTTCTGAGGAAATATGAACGAAACTATTTCAAGTTTACTATAAATTTGAAGTACACGTGGTTTTTATATTTACAGGAAAAACCTTTGCAAGCCATGGAAAGTATTTCACTTTGGTGGATGAAGTAGAAAATTTAAAATATTTCTAATGTTGATGCTATGGAAACATGTGTCACAAGCACCTGATGTGGTAGGTGATGTTTGGTTTGCAGAATTTACGTGGAGAAGACTACCTTTCATTAAGTAATCACATCCATTTCACCTTACTGTGTTGAAGTTTCGAGCTCGTTGTTTGGAACAAAACACTTACTTACAGTTAAGATTTATATACAGATTTGTCTAAAAGTATTTTGTTAACTACACAGCATACAGAGCATTCATTATTCTTTTCATTTGATTATTTAGTGAGTAGTAATTGCTATTTTTTTCTTCAATGTGAATGTTAAAATAATGAAGATAAATAAATTTCAAGCATTGTTTGAAATGCCATACTTTGATCACCTGTTTACTTAAAGGTGCATTAAAATCAAGATAGGCAGAAGGTATTTTGTTAAATCAACTGTTATTTGCATTAAGTATTTTTATCAAATTTTTTTGAAACTTTTAGTACTGTACGAAAATGAATTTTGATAGTTGTTTGATTTAATTCAATTGAAATATTAAGGGTAAATTTGTGTAAGTGTGCTTATTGGTCGAGAATAAGATGTATATTAATTCATCAATAGTTCATTTAGGTAAAGTTAATTGGAATGTTAAAACTGATGATAACTTAATTGCAGATTAGCACCTTATAAATTAATAAATATTATGTTGCAAATGTGAGAGGCGAGGCAAGAGTAAATGGGTAATTCTCTCTCATTTCAGCAGAAACATTTTACCCGTCGACTCTTTGGAAATTCATTAACAATGTCCATTTGTTAACATTTGTAAGGTATGGTATTTGTATTAAAACTTGGTTAGTGATGTATATTTATGTGAAGATGATATGTTAAGATTTGGACTCTAGTCTTTTTATCTACAAGTTGAAGTTTTTATTTGCAATTACTGTTAACCCCCCCCCTGACTTCATAAGTCTTCCTATCCCCTTGATTGTTACAGATGAAATGTTAACGTGAATAATTATTAATGTTCTCAGTTTTCACTCAAGTTGATTTTTTTTTTATTACAAATACGTTTCATTGGAATCTGGACAGTTGTTTCAATGGTTAAAAATGATGAAAAATAGTTAGCAGTACTATTTTTAATGATTTTTCTTAGAAGTGCCCCCTAATTTGTATTAAAATAGCGAAATTACTATGAAAGTGAATGTTTACTAATAGTTTGTTTTTATAATTAAACATATGTATCTACAATGCAGCTGAGTGGATTTCTAAAGAATCACAAATGAAACTTTTGTAATTCTTTTATTTCTTTAGTTTATTACATTTGCAAGGATGCAAGTATTTTTGCTAAAATTCAAAACTACTTAGCAACATGTTGTAAATTGGTACTCATATCTGATAAAATGTGCGCCCCCCTTTTATGTTCCTTCTGACACCCTGATCCAGTTATCCTGTCTACAAGATGACAGGTTCTTAGGTGGATTTTTGCATTTCTAAGTAAATACAATTAATTTTGTGTAGTAACACAAAGGATTCAGAATTAGCAAGTATTCAAAACATATAATAACTAAAACTATGAATAACAATTTAATTTAGGATATTTTGTATTGAATTGTTTGGTGTCGTCAACCTTGCACGAGAGGTCATTAATGCGTTCTTGAGAATAATCCAATATCTGGTAAGTGTAATTGTGAGTATGGGGGTTTGAATATTTGTGTATAATTATTTTGTTTATCTATCATAATGCATCATGAATCACTTCAATAATGACCATATGTGGTGGGGGCATTTGCCCATCCAAGAAATTTTCAAGCTCTAGTATTTATATCCACAATGAAAAGAAATAATTGTAATGTTTAAGACAAAAAAATAATTACGATGTGTAGGAGCAATATTTATGAAGTGTCCTCCCCCCCCCATCCCAATCCACTAAAGAGAAAAAATGAAAATAGTACATATTTGAGAAAAGTTGAAATTTTTTGATATTAATTTTCTTTTTAATCACTCTACTGAAATTATTTCTAATTTATAAAAGCAGTGTGGTAAAAAACTTTTAAAACGATAGCAGTTATTGAACAATGTGAACTAATTTCACAGAAAAGAAATGTTTGCATACTGCCTTGGATGGTTTTAATTTCCATTTTCTTATACATGTGTTGGTTCATCATAAGTTGTGAATGTATGTACGTTGAAAATCTGTGTATTTGCCTTATAAAGATATGTCTGCTATGTTATACCATTAACTTAAAGGAGTAATTCGTTAATTACATGTTTAAAATATTTCAATTCAATATAATAAAGATGTGTTGATTCCCTTTCCTTTCCATCAATGTGTGACCTGGGCATTTTACTGATATATATATCATAGGAATAGGTGAATATCCACTTAGACTGTATTCATAAATTGAACAATAGTTTTAAGTTTGAGTGGTGGCTAGACAATATTTCCTGTAAATAGGACTTTCGTTGAAATGAAAATTCGTTTTTAAAATACAGTAGATATTTCTGTATGACGAATTGCAGATATTTCCGAACTAGTTTCTGGATTAAAAGTAAACGTTATTTGGTCAAGGTCGTTGTCATATATTCAGCTCCGTCCGAATGATTGTTTAAAATACAAATTTCTCCAGGTGCTTTTGACTTTGATATTACTGTAACAAGTTTATATAATAAACACTTTTGAATCAGCAACAATAGTGACGTAATTTATAACCGTATGTAGGGAATACTTTACCACCAAATACTATGATCGCTATACGTACACGCAGATACGTAATTAATTGTCGTTATCTTTATCGCTAAAGTTCCTTTCGAAGTAGTCGTCGAACACGTCGTAGTTTGGAAAAACAGTAGTTGAACTCTTTGAAGTTGTGCAAATGCATGGGGAGTAAGTTTTTGTGTGTAGAAAGGAAACCACGGTGATAACAACTGATGTGCAAGTTGTGGATTTTGTTGCAATTTTCTACTACAAAATTCTTTGCCCCTAAAATGTTATGTTACACACATATTATAGTGTTTAAATAACATTTATGACCCCCCTTGTTTTTAGGCTGACCCCCCTTGACAGAAATCATTGCTATGCTTCTGGAAAGAGCGTTTAAATCGTAAGTAAAACGATTGCTAAAATTTCTTTGCGAAAAGTAAAGTTGGATGTTTTTTTATGAAAATTTGTTTTATTGATTGCCGTAGTAAATTGGCAATGCCATGACTTATCTAAATTATAACGATCATTCGTATCTAGCTAGAGGTTTTTGATGACGTTTCATTTAAGAATTAATTTCATTGCGTCTTTCCCATACATTACTAATTAGCAGCTTTAACACAAAAGATGGTGAGCACAACAATTTGACATGTAGAAGACTGCTTTAACAACTTTGTGTGAATGGAATTTTAATGCCGTGATTTGGAAGTTATTCATACGAGAAAGAAAACATCGATATGTCGGAACTTATGTGAATAAGTAATAGATAATTGTTATTTGATACTAGGAAGTTATGGAAAAACGGAAATAGGAACTTATGTTAATACTTTTATTAGTTGTCACACGTTGTAAGTCAGTCCTCTTCTGTCGCTGGCTGTGAATGTAAAAGCTTGTAACGTGTTAGATTATCTTTGATGATTAAAAGTTGTATTGGAATAGTTATATGGAGTAAAATTGAAAAATGTGTGTCGACTGCGCGTACAGTAGGATAGTATACAGCCGCAAAAACCAATCGGCTAACGCGTAAGTACTTTGTGCTAACGCGAAAAGGGAAAAATTGCCACAGATAAGCTATTTGTTTTTTATAGTTTTTATTTTTCTCTTCCAGGAATGTGGTTATGTTCAATAGCATTCGACGTGTTTACAATTCATCACAAGAGGACATGTACATCATTGGTAAGGATGATTTAAGACGTGCAGCTACATTCACAATACGTTACTTAAAAACCTGGATACCCCGATTTATGTCAAATTATTTATTCGTCAATATCAATAGTAGTAAGTTTTAAGTCCCCTCCTCCCCTCGATCGTAGATGTAGTAAATGTGACATGTTGCTAAAATAAATCGAAAACCTTCCTTCTGAATGTAAGTCAAACATTCAATTCTTTATTATTGTAAGGTTTAACTATAGCTACGATGTGCAATATGTTCGTTATATATGTTTTGACGTGTACTGCAACTTACGTAATTACTGCAGCGTGAAAGTCTACCTATGACGTCATTAAAAATTAAATGTCAAAGTTCGTTTCAGACAACGAAAGCTTCGTAGATAGTCATGCTAGCATTATATGGTATGCCATATTTTCAAGCGTATCTTTTTCAAGTATGTATTATTCTCAATACTACAATTCCCTTTGCACCTTTTTTTGGCCACCTTTCAATCTGATTTTCCAGAGTGGTGCATTGTCCAGCACTAAGCCAAGTGTATTGGTGTACGCATAGTGTACGCTTTGCGCTTTTAATAGCCTTGTGCCCCATCGAAAAAATTGGATCAACAGTAACTTGGGACAACTTTTGTCCTGTTCCAATTAACATGTGGACTAAAAACCACAGATTGACTTTATTTAATTCGATATCCAACTTTTGTTGAATCTCATTTGACGTAAAGCATGTAACTGTGACGTTTGTATCATCAACAAAAAGTGTTGATACAGAGGAACTTAGAGAATTCGGTATTAAGAAAAGAAAAGGACCAAGATTTAACAGCTGCGTCACACTTTTAGTAATATTTTGTGCAGTAGACATTCCCACTTTTCATGGTTGTGTCCTGTTAGATATAAGATGAACCAGTTTAGAGCATTTTTTATGCCGTAAGATGAAATTTCTTTATCAAGATATTGTGATATACAGTACCTATTTTATAAATCTAACAAAATTTTGCCATTTATTGGGCTTTGTTTAGGTTAAGTAATCATTCATTAATTTGTTGGTTTTAACAATGAAAAACAAGTAGACTATCCTTTTCTTATGACAATGGTAGAATGTTTTATAAGTTTTGGAGTGTGTTTTGTCTAAGCCAGCTCCCTTGTTAGCTACATTTGAGTTTTGATATTTTTTTGTAAAATGTTTCGTGAGAAATTGCAATAAATTCACATTCTATTGGATCCAGGTATTCTAAGAAATGTGTAGAACTTTCTGAAAGTTTATTTTATAATTTTGTGACAATTTCTAGAAAATGTTTATGTAGCTATGGTATTACTTTTTCGTCATAAATATTATCGGCCATTTTATCTTTGATTCCTGTTCGTTACGCTTAACTTTATATGCCTAGAAATTACTTTTGGAGTTTCGCTTTTTTATAAGTAATCACGCTTGTTCATCTTACATCTAATGTCAGTGGTTTATGGGATCGTTTTGTTTAATTCTTGTAAACAGTGTGGCACAGCAAGAATTCTTTTTAATTGTTTCCAAAGCACTATAAGCCTGAAACACACTACGTAGTCGGTTTAGCCGCCGATAACTCGAATTTACCGCTAATTTTAAGTAAGTAAATTACTTTAACCCGGTTAACTGAATATCTTCCTTGAAGAAATTTTAATTCCCCCCTGGCCAAATCTCTTCTGGGTGATAAGCTCACAATTTTAAATGAGATGAAAAGTGATAATGCTTTTGTGTTACCGAATTTAATCAAATTTAAATACACCCTCAATAACTCGAACCGCGCGCCAACAATTTTCGATTTTTGCTGTGAGCTTCTATTGTACTGTAGGTACGATCTCGTTTTACTATAGGAGGACAATTTACGAAGCTTTCGAAGTCCCAACATTAACATTGTTCTAATGACGTCATAAGTCACGTTTGACATTTGCCCAATGCCCTCGCTTAGATAAGAAAGTTATGCTAGTTGTCAAAACTTCTCGCAAATTTTAACAAAAATTTACTGTCATTGTTAGAAAATTTTTAGGTATTTATCATTGTTGCTTTATGGTTTTGTGTTTTATATAGCTCAATCATTATGACTACACTTTTGGAAATATTATGTCAATAATACCCAATTATTTAGGAATTTCAAATGATGACAAACTTTTTTGAGAAAAAAATATATGAATTGAGTCATCATATATATTAAATGCATGGATTACAAATTTTAAAACTTATATATATATATATATATATGATTCATGTATATTAATACTTAATAACAGTGTTATGTGACAGAAAGTGTTATAATATAATAAATACATGTATGGCATAGCTATTTATAATTGGAAAGTAGTGTTGAAATGTTTAGATCAGGTTTGTGTTATCGTATATGTAGGGCTTCTCCAAGTTTAAGAGGAAATTGTGTGTTGGTATAATTGCACAAACATGTTAAAAAGCATATTTGTGACTTATGTAATTCTAACTTATCGATTATAATAATATATTACTGTTTTGATATACAATGGTTTGAAAGACCTTACTAGCAATCTGTATTATACAAACAGACACTTGATGTCATTTAAAGCTGTGGATGGTTTGAACAATATGAACGAAGTAATCATTTGTCATTGACAGCACTCGATACAGTGATGAATGTAATATACATGGAATTAAGTAGAACATAATTGTATTGTTGTTTGAGCTCTTTGTCTTGAAATACGACAACATTTCAATGCCTTGCAATTGCGTAATATATATAATTGTTTCGTTTTATGAAATATGTAAAAAGTGAATGATATTAAATAGCTTCAACGAAAATTGTAAGTACATGCGTTCTTAATAAAATAACACTTTTTACGCAGATAAGCTTTATATTGTGCGCATAACTTTTGTTAATGTTTTTAGAAATAATACACCTTACTTGGGAAATACGGGAAGTTGTAAACATAACATGACAAAAGTGATAACAAATGTAAGAAATTTGTGCACGAATTAAAAGTAAAGAAAAGCGTTGCTATAGTTTTTATTTGGATGTTTTATCTTCAATCATACAGCGATCGTGAAAAATGTAAACATGTTTATATACGAGTTTGTGGATGAATGTTAATGGTTAATGTTCGAATTATAAATATTTCTTTATTATTTCTAAACTGTAAATATATTGATGTCTGTGTTATTACCATTCAAAAATTTTTTGGTGCTAGGTAGGGTGTTCTTGTTTATGTAAGTTATGTTAATTTTTTGTTACAAATATAGGTTGAAATGTCAATGTGTCACAACGTTACTTGACAACAAGAAGAAACGGAAGTTGGCGTCACGAAAATTATAAAATTCTATTGGCGGAGGTAAGTACTTTGAAATAAAAAGACGTTCATTCAAATTTGCCGTTGTTCGAACGGTTTCTCATGGCAATAACAGCTACACAGTGTATTTCTAATGTTTTCGGTTATTCCAATGTTTGGATAGCGCATCATTAAGCGCAATGATTCCTTAATCCTTCTTGTACAAAGAATCGTACAAGTATAAGCCACTTTCATGTGATTTTGTTCTATACGCAAGAAAAATTAGCAGCAAATTCACACCGGAAGTGTGGTTGGAACAATTTGGAATAACCAGTCCCAAAGCAAGTCCAAAATAAATATCGTGTATTTGGTAGTTGGATGAGCATATAAATCGTTTCCTGCTTTTTTTTTTTCTGTGCGTTGACTTGCTTTGGGACATATATAAATTCGTTGTTCGTTCGGGGTTAGGTTGCATGCTGCCAAATTTTTTACTGACCTATCCCAAAATGCATAGCGAGATGCAGGAGAAATTTATATCATCTATTAGCAAGAATAAATTACTTGTATTTGACATAAATTACTTGTACTTAACAACGACGTAAACGGCCGGCGTGTGTGTATATTTTGACGGACGGCATATACATTATGAAAATATACAAATTATAATATGTATCGTCGACGTTAACAGTAATGATATTGCATTGCGAACGTTTTTCTTACTTAGTCGTACGTTTGTTTAGCTTTTATAGTAATTATTTCTATGTATCACTGACATTTAACGGCTCGTAGTGTAAAATTCGTTCATTGAGCTGCTTGTCTGCCGATTTCATGAAGCATGACCTTGTTGACATTGCAGCACTTGCATACAATGCGAATCATTATCGCCCACAAGCACAAAGCGTTTGTTTTACAATGAGAAAGCACGTCTGCAGCAAGTTCGCGACAGACATCGCGTGCTTCCTACGTCATATGAAACGATCGCATTTCGCGGCATTACGCGCGAATTTTCAAACATGTTCTTCTTTACGAACAGGTGTACATTGGATTAGAAAGAACGCTTGACATGACGATTGTAGTAAAGGATGATTCCTTCGTTATCCGTACTGCTTGATTTTTTTCATTTGTTGCATGATTTCTACGCGAAAAGATACAATAGAACCGTGTGTTTCTCATGCAACTTGTAGAGTGAAAAAATGGCGAAAGCTCTTCTTCTGTATCGCTTCTCGGCCTTTTGGCTAAGATCAAGTGTAGTATCTGTTCTTATCAGCTTAATATCTGATATGTCGGGCAATGCCCGACTCTTATATTAAACTGATTTTGGATATCGGCCATGGGATTGGAGCTTGCTTCGCCCTGGCCACGGGTTGTCTCGGTATTGCACTACCTCCGAGTTCGGCCCATTTCCCTTCGCGGAAGGGAAACACATTTACTTTAAACAAACGAAAAAAAACAAACAAAACAGCCAGCAAATCAAATAGCTAAGCGAATTTATTTTGTCTGTAACTAACTAACCGAGAAACGAACTGTTTAACATTTAACTAAATAACATACGTCTCTTTTCGACAGAGTCGGCGAAAGACGAAAAGACGTCGTCGCCGTCGGAAAGGAAGACAATAAAGGCCGTCAGACGGTACGTTGCAAGTGCAAAAAGTAGTGAAAAAGTAAAGGGAGGGGGTGCAACCGTGTCGCACAGAGCGTACGTTCGCGTACAAAGTATGCTCGCCGTGCGTCGTTCGAGCATACTTACCTGACGCGAGAGGCACCTTGATCAGCTAGGAGGTCCTCTCAGGATGAGGCCCTTTCATTGCACTTCGACTGGGTTGACTCCTGCGATTACCCCTAACGTGGGTAACTCGAGCGTATAATTTCTGGTAGTGGGGACCTGCGTTCGCGCTCGTCCCCTTCGTTTCTCACGATGGGAGGAAGAAGCGGAGAAAAGAACAAATAAAATAGAACACAAGAGAGAAGAGGGCCTTTCGTCCGTCAATTGTGTATGCCACGCTTTGGGACATATATAAATTCGTTGTTCGTTCGGGGTTAGGTTGCATGCTGCCAAATTTTTTACTGACCTATCCCAAAATGCATAGCGAGATGCAGGAGAAATTTATATCAGCTATTAGCAAGAATAAATTACTTGTATTTGACATAAATTACTTGTACTTAACAACGACGTAAACGGCCGGCGTGTGTATATTTTGACGGACGGCATATACATTATGAAAGTATACAAATTATAATATGTATCGTCGACGTTAACAGTAATGATATTGCATTGCGAACGTTTTTCTTACTTAGTCGTACGTTTGTTTAGCTTTTATAGTAATTATTTCTATGTATCACTGACATTTAACGGCTCGTAGTGTAAAATTCGTTCATTGAGCTGCTTGTCTGCCGATTTCATGAAGCATGACCTTGTTGACATTGCAGCACTTGCATACAATGCGAATCATTATCGCCCACAAGCACAAAGCGTTTGTTTTACAATGAGAAAGCACGTCTGCAGCAAGTTCGCGACAGACATCGCGTGCTTCCTACGTCATATGAAACGATCGCATTTCGCGGCATTACGCGCGAATTTTCAAACATGTTCTTCTTTACGAACAGGTGTACATTGGATTAGAAAGAACGCTTGACATGACGATTGTAGTAAAGGATGATTCCTTCGTTATCCGTACTGCTTGATTTTTTTTCATTTGTTGCATGATTTCTACGCGAAAAGATACAATAGAACCGTGTGTTTCTCATGCAACTTGTAGAGTGAAAAAATGGCGAAAGCTCTTCTTCTGTATCGCTTCTCGGCCTTTTGGCTAAGATCAAGTGTAGTATCTGTTCTTATCAGCTTAATATCTGATATGTCGGGCAATGCCCGACTCTTATATTAAACTGATTTTTGGATATCGGCCATGGGATTGGAGCTTGCTTCGCCCTGGCCACGGGTTGTCTCGGTATTGCACTACCTCCGAGTTCGGCCCATTTCCCTTCGCGGAAGGGAAACACATTTACTTTAAACAAACGAAAAAAAACAAACAAAACAGCCAGCAAATCAAATAGCTAAGCGAATTTATTTTGTCTGTAACTAACTAACCGAGAAACGAACTGTTTAACATTTAACTAAATAACATACGTCTCTTTTCGACAGAGTCGGCGAAAGACGAAAAGACGTCGTCGCCGTCGGAAAGGAAGACAATAAAGGCCGTCAGACGGTACGTTGCAAGTGCAAAAAGTAGTGAAAAAGTAAAGGGAGGGGGTGCAACCGTGTCGCACAGAGCGTACGTTCGCGTACAAAGTATGCTCGCCGTGCGTCGTTCGAGCATACTTACCTGACGCGAGAGGCACCTTGATCAGCTAGGAGGTCCTCTCAGGATGAGGCCCTTTCATTGCACTTCGACTGGGTTGACTCCTGCGATTACCCCTAACGTGGGTAACTCGAGCGTATAATTTCTGGTAGTGGGGACCTGCGTTCGCGCTCGTCCCCTTCGTTTCTCACGATGGGAGGAAGAAGCGGAGAAAAGAACAAATAAAATAGAACACAATATAGAGATCAATTGTTCCACGTTGGGACATATATAAATTCGTTGTTCGTTCGGGTTAGGTTGCTGCCAAATTTTTACTGACCTATCCCAAAATGCATAGCGAGATGCAGGAGAAATTTATATCATCTATTAGCAAGAATAAATTACTTGTATTTGACATAAATTACTTGTACTTAACAACGACGTAAACGGCCGGCGTGTGTATATTTTGACGGACGGCATATACATTATGAAAATATACAAATTATAATATGTATCGTCGACGTTAACAGTAATGAATATTGCATTGCGAACGTTTTTCTTACTTAGTCGTACGTTTGTTTAGCTTTTATAGTAATTATTTCTATGTATCACTGACATTTAACGGCTCGTAGTGTAAAATTCGTTCATTGAGCTGCTTGTCTGCCGATTTCATGAAGCATGACCTTGTTGACATTGCAGCACTTGCATACAATGCGAATCATTATCGCCCACAAGCACAAAGCGTTTGTTTTACAATGAGAAAGCACGTCTGCAGCAAGTTCGCGACAGACATCGCGTGCTTCCTACGTCATATGAAACGATCGCATTTCGCGGCATTACGCGCGAATTTTCAAACATGTTCTTCTTTACGAACAGGTGTACATTGGATTAGAAAGAACGCTTGACATGACGATTGTAGTAAAGGATGATTCCTTCGTTATCCGTACTGCTTGATTTTTTTCATTTGTTGCATGATTTCTACGCGAAAAGATACAATAGAACCGTGTGTTTCTCATGCAACTTGTAGAGTGAAAAATGGCGAAAGCTCTTCTTCTGTATCGCTTCTCGGCCTTTTGGCTAAGATCAAGTGTAGTATCTGTTCTTATCAGCTTAATATCTGATATGTCGGGCAATGCCCGACTCTTATATTAAACTGATTTTTGGATATCGGCCATGGGATTGGAGCTTGCTTCGCCCTGGCCACGGGTTGTCTCATTGCACTACCTCCGAGTTCGGCCCATTTCCCTTCGCGGAAGGGAAACACATTTACTTTAAACAAACGAAAAAACAAACAAAACAGCCAGCAAATCAAATAGCAAAGCGAATTTATTCTGTAACTAACTAACTAACTAACCGAGAAACGAACCGTTTAACATTTAACTAAATAACATACGTCTCTTTTCGACAGAGTCGGCGAAAGACGAAAAGACGTCGTCGTCGTCGGAAAGGAAGACAATAAAGGCCGTCAGACGGTAAGTTGCAAGTGCAAAAGTAGTGAAAAGTAAAGGGAGGGTGCAACCGTGTCGCACCGAGCGTACGTTCGCGTACAAAGTATGCTCGCCGTGCGTCGTTCGAGCATACTTACCTGACGCGAGAGGCACCTTGATCAGCTAGGAGGTCCTCTCAGGATGAGGCCCTTTCATTGCACTTCGACTGGGTTGACTCCTGCGATTACCCTAACGTGGGTAACTCGAGCGTATAATTTCTGGTAGTGGGGACCTGCGTTCGCGCTCGTCCCTTCGTTTCTCACGATGGGAGGAAGAAGCGGAGAAAAGAACAAATAAAATAGAACACGATATATAAATTCGTTGTTCGTTCGGGGTTAGGTTGCATGCTGCCAAATTTTTACTGACCTATCCCAAAATGCATAGCGAGATGCAGGAGAAATTTATATCATCTATTAGCAAGAATAAATTACTTGTATTTGACATAAATTACTTGTACTTAACAACGACGTAAACGGCCGGCGTGTGTATATTTTGACGGACGGCATATACATTATGAAAATATACAAATTATAATATGTATCGTCGACGTTAACAGTAATGAAATTGCATTGCGAACGTTTTTCTTACTTAGTCGTACGTTTGTTTAGCTTTTATAGTAATTATTTCTATGTATCACTGACATTTAACGGCTCGTAGTGTAAAATTCGTTCATTGAGCTGCTTGTCTGCCGATTTCATGAAGCATGACCTTGTTGACATTGCAGCACTTGCATACAATGCGAATCATTATCGCCCACAAGCACAAAGCGTTTGTTTTACAATGAGAAAGCACGTCTGCAGCAAGTTCGCGACAGACATCGCGTGCTTCCTACGTCATATGAAACGATCGCATTTCGCGGCATTACGCGCGAATTTTCAAACATGTTCTTCTTTACGAACAGGTGTACATTGGATTAGAAAGAACGCTTGACATGACGATTGTAGTAAAGGATGATTCCTTCGTTATCCGTACTGCTTGATTTTTTTCATTTGTTGCATGATTTCTACGCGAAAAGATACAATAGAACCGTGTGTTTCTCATGCAACTTGTAGAGTGAAAAATGGCGAAAGCTCTTCTTCTGTATCGCTTCTCGGCCTTTTGGCTAAGATCAAGTGTAGTATCTGTTCTTATCAGCTTAATATCTGATATGTCGGGCAATGCCCGACTCTTATATTAAACTGATTTTGGATATCGGCCATGGGATTGGAGCTTGCTTCGCCCTGGCCACGGGTTGTCTCGGTATTGCACTACCTCCGAGTTCGGCCCATTTCCCTTCGCGGAAGGGAAACACATTTACTTTAAACAAACGAAAAACAAACAAAACAGCCAGCAAATCAAATAGCAAAGCGAATTTATTTTGTCTGTAACTAACTAACCGAGAAACGAACCGTTTAACATTTAACTAAATAACATACGTCTCTTTTCGACAGAGTCGGCGAAAGACGAAAAGACGTCGTCGCCGTCGGAAAGGAAGACAATAAAGGCCGTCAGACGGTAAGTTGCAAGTGCAAAAGTAGTGAAAAGTAAAGGGAGGGTGCAACCGTGTCGCACAGAGCGTACGTTCGCGTACAAAGTATGCTCGCCGTGCGTCGTTCGAGCATACTTACCTGACGCGAGAGGCACCTTGATCAGCTAGGAGGTCCTCTCAGGATGAGGCCCTTTCATTGCACTTCGACTGGGTTGACTCCTGCGATTACCCTAACGTGGGTAACTCGAGCGTATAATTTCTGGTAGTGGGGACCTGCGTTCGCGCTCGTCCCCTTCGTTTCTCACGATGGGAGGAAGAAGCGGAGAAAAAGAACAAATAAAATAGAACACGATATATAAATTCGTTGTTCGTTCG